GACTCAATATGTAGACAGCTATAAAGTAGAAGAGGAGACTTGTTGAGCTCAGGGTACTGCCCAGAACACTGCGAGATTATCAGGACAAGGGATCTTGCCAGGCATTGACATCTTGATCTTGGCCCAGAAGAGAGGAGAAATGTGGCATGGTAGGTTTGGACATATGGGAGCTACCCAAGGAGGGGTGAGGCCCTAGGATTAGCCAGGAAGACTTAATTTACAAAGGTTGCCACCAGATTAAGTCCAGTATGACTTGGATAACCCTCACCATGTATTAAATTATGAATGAAACTCACAACGATCCTTCACATTCTTATAACCTGTGTTTCAAAATAATAACATCAACCAAGTTTACTATCTCATTTACTGATGAACTATTTACTGCTTGCTTAAAACTTCTCTGCTTCAAGCTACTAATTATATGAAGGACAACTCCCATCAAGCTTAATCACTAGGAACTGTTTCTTGCTTTGCAAATATTTTGCTACCTGCTAAATATCATTATTGAAGATTATTCCTAGCAACCTAATGAATCTTATTTAATATATCTCTGAGGAAATACTTATTGATGAACTTTGTATTGTTTAATGAATTTCACTTATTCTTATTGGATTATTGCCTAAATGCAATTCGTTAAGTTTAACAATTATTAAAACTTCATTTGATTCTCAAAGTGCCGGCAATCCTTTCCTTTCTTAAAGCTTCAGTATTGATACTTTAAAGATTCTCCGCTTCTTCACTATTGTAATTAAGGAGTTCTACAAGCTGCAGTTGAGTTCCAATCCAAATAACCCAAGTAGCATAACACTACCCTGCAATGCTAAATTAAAAAGATCCAATCCAACCTCTGTCAGGTGGACCCCATCACTCCTAAAATAAGTTGCTGCATTACATTTAAAGATGCGGTGACACACCGTGAGCCCCCCATTCCCTTCACAAACCTCAAAACCCACTAATTAAGTTGAATTCTGTGCCGTTCAAGAGCCCTGGGGTCTCTTGCCCCCCTCTGATAGTTCCAAGATAGCACCTCAGACCACACCAGACACACCCTTGGGAATCTGAGCCAGAGCTCGGCCAAATCTTTCTGGATCCTCAAACCCAGATCCCACACCCGAATAGTGTCAAGATTGTTCCCCCCAGCATGAATCAGGATAACATCAGGAACACAGAGCAGGCCCGACAAATGGACCAATTCGGGCAACAGGTGCCCCCACCGCATCCCCCGGGAACTGAACTAACGGACTTCTGCCAACGCTGGTGACAGGCCCAATTGTCCTGGGACAAACTGCAGCACACTGTTGCGCCCGATGTATGTACGAATGGCTGATGACCCATGCTCACTTTTCGGCACCTACAACGTCAAAAGGGGAAACGGAATCCGTCCAGTTGGACACACATATGATCAGAACTTCCCAGATTCCCATCTCCCAATCCTTTGGAAACTTCCTCAGCCAATCCAAGGTGAGATGCCTCAGTGGCAGCCCCTATCCAAAAAGAGTGCCCCCCAAAATCTGCACTAGGCAGCCCCTAAACCTCCAAAGCCATGCAAAAAATCCTGATAAATTGGAACCGGGATAAAAAACTGGCATCCCCGTGATCCAACAAAGGACCCACGCCTGCTGGGCGTACCTTCCAGAAAGCATGCAGACATGCCAAAGGACAGACCACAGAGCCAGGGTGTCACGGGTAATTGTACGGAGACTGGGACTCCTGAGTGCCTGAAGATGATGATCGGAGTCTCAGGGTGGAAATGGACTATCAGGGCCTGGTGCAGGGTAACCACATGCCCCCTGGAGTTGAGCACCAGCGTTTGTGTGGCCACATACCAGGGCCCTGATGCGGCTGCTGTGGAATCCAGGTGCTTGAGAATATGCAGACCTCCCAGGAACTGGATAGGGAGGCTCTGCACCAGAAATTTATACAGTACTAGAAACAAGGCAAGACTAGAACAGGCACCAAACAAGATAACAAAACAAGACTAGAAGAACCCAGAACATATATGCAAGACATGAGGGAAACATGAACAGGGCAGGACAGGACTGTACATGAACTGGGAAGACAAAATGAAACAAGACAATAGATACAAGGCAAAACAAGAGGAGACATAATTAAGTACTAATATATGTAATAAACATTGGAGATTTAGACATACAGGTGATACTCGAAAAATTAGAATATCTTGCAAAAGTTCATTTATTTCAGTAATGCAACATAAAAGGGGAAACTAATATATGAGATAGACGCATTACATGCAAAGTAAGATAGTTCAAGCCGTGATTTGTCATAAGTGCGATGATTATGGCTTACAGCTCATGAAAACCCCAAATCCACAATCTCAGAAAATTAGAATATTACATGCAATCAATAAAACAAGGAGTATACAGATAACAATATCGGACCTCTGAAAAGTATAAGCATGAATATGGACTCAGTACTTGGTTTGGGCCCCTTTTGCAGCAATTATTGCCTCAATGCGGCGTGGCATGGAAGCTATCAGCCTGTGGCACTGCTGAGGTGTTATGGAAGACCAGGATGCTTCAATAGCGGCCTTCAGCTCTTCTGCATTGTTTGATCTCATGTCTCTCATCTTTCTCTTGGCAATGCCCCATAGATTCTCTAAGGGGTTCAGGTCAGGCGAGTTTGCTGGCCAATCAAGCACAGTAATCCCACAGTCATTGAACCAAGTTTTGGTGCTTTTGGCAGTGTGGGCAGGTGCCAAGTCCAGCTGGAAAATGAAGTCAGCATCCCCATAAAGCTCGTCTGCGGAAGGAAGCATGAAGTGCTCCAAAATCTCCTGGTAGATGGCTGCGTTGACCCTGGACTTAATGAAGCACAGTGGACCAACACCAGAAGATGACATGGCTCCCCAAATCAACACAGACTGTGGAAACTTAACACTGGACTTCAAGTATCTTGCAGTGTGTGCCTCTCCATTCTTCCTCCACACTCTGGGTCCTTGGTTTCCAAATGAGATGCAAAAGGTGCTCTCATCAGAAAAGAGGACTTTGGACCACTGAGCAACAGACCAGGTCTGTTTTTCTTTAGCCCAGGTAAGGCGCTTCTGACATTGTTTGTTGTTCAGGAGCGGCTTGACCAGAAGAATACGACATCTGAAGCCCATGTCCAGGATCCGTCTGTGTGTGGTGGCTCTTGATGCACTGACTCCAGCCTCAGTCCACTCCTTGTGAAAGTCCTCAACACTTTTGAATGGCCTTTTCCTGACAATCCTCTCCAGGCTGCTGTCATCCCTGCTGCTTGTGCACCTTTTTTTTGCACACTTTTCCCTTCCATAACTTTCTATTACTGTGCTTTGATACAGCACTTTGGGAACATCCAACTTCCTTCGCAATTACCTTTTGAGGATTTTCCTCCTTATGGAGGGTGTCGATGATGGTTTTCTGCACAACTGTCAGGTCAGCAGTCTTCCCCAGGATTGTGATTCCTATTGAACCAGACTGAGAGACCATTTAAAGGCTCAGAAACCCTTTGCATGTGTTATGGCTTACTTAGCTGATTAGAGTGGGACACTGTGAGCCTAGAATATTGCACCTTTTCACAATATTCTAATTTACTGAGATTGTGGATTTGGGGTTTTCATGAGCTGTAAGCCATAATCATCGCACTTATGACAAATCACGGCTTGAACTATCTTGATTTGCATGTAATGCATCTCATATATTAGTTTAAACGTTTACGTTGCATTACTGAAATAAATGAACTTTTGCACGATATTCTAATTTTTCGAGTATCACTGGTACATAAATGACCAAGATGTTTGCAGCCCACCACTGCTCCAAAGTACTCCAATTACAGTGGGTCCTAACTGCCTAGATATGCAAATAAACAATACTAAAACACACACATCACTTACCTGCAAAGGAATGAGCAGAGGAAATGAAACCCCTGCCTTCAGGATCAGACTGAAACAAAGGATTAATGGCAAAGGAACAAGTGTGGCAACACAAAACAAACATTTAAAGGAATCCAAGAGACTGGGCATTCCAGGAATGGAATAAAGGAATGAACCCAGAAAACCCAGCATAAAGAAAACCAGACTTAGAATAGAAAACCAGAAAAAACAAGAAAATCTAAACAAGAATTGTAAAAAGAGTACTGGATACCAGAAGCCAAGGCCATACATCTTTGCAGAACAGAACAGGATGTGACACAGGGATGCTACGTAACGTGACCCACGTACCGTGTCTTAGAACGTCTGTCTTGGACTTCTGAAAAAAAAAAAACTCACTGCATCTGCTTCGCCAAAGACATCCCCAAGTAACAAACCCCCAGGGACTGATTTAGATGTGCTCATGAGCTTGCCCACCCACATGGCCCCGAAAAAGGCGAATGAGAATGTCAACTGAAATAACACCACCTCGAATGGGGAGAAACAAACCTGTAGCAGAACTCTGAACAAGCCCACCATAAGAGCGCCTGAAACAGGCCTCCGAGAATCCGAAAGCTTGGGCCTCTTACACCATCCTCTCATAACCAATGAAACCAGAACATACTTTGTGATGTCCAAAACCCTGGTGAGCTTAAACCAAAAGCTAAACCCAGACAACAGCCGAGAAGAAACATCCCGACGCTTCCCAGAACCATATTAGCTGTAACAACCCTTGTACACGCTCACCATCAGACTGAAAACCATTGAGCCGCCTTTCGAATTCTACTCACTTGCTCGATGCCTTACCATAACGCTGCCAAATAGACTCTGAAACAGAATCCAAGACATTATCCGGTCAGTCCCTGCCCCACAGGTCTGCTGGGCATGGAAAGTACACCTCATCCGCCCCGGGTGCCGTTGCCCTGAATTCCCGCCACTGAAAACAAGAAAGAACATCCGCTGTAACATTAGCAACCCCAGACACATGCACAGCCCTACAATACACATTCAGAAGCAAATGGCGCAGCACCAGGCGCTGCAGAAGATGAACCACTGGAGGGGAGGAAGCAGACAAATTGTTGAACATTCAGAAGCAAATGGCGCAGCACCAGGCGCTGCAGAAGATGAACCACTGGAGGGGAGGAAGCAGACAAATTGTTGAACAATCAACAATTTGTCTGCTTCCTCCCCTCCAGTGGTTCATCTTCTGCAGCGCCTGGTGCTGCGCCATTTGCTTCTGAATGTGTATTGTAGGGCTGTGCATGTGTCTGGGGTTGCTAATGTTACAGCGGATGTTCTTTCTTGTTTTCACAACCCCCATATTATGACAGTGGAAGACCTCCCTACAATCCCTGAGATGTTCACCCCAGATCTCCACTGCCACCACATTAGGAAAAAGCTCCAAGAAAGCAAGGTTCTTAGTAAACCCTGCCGAATGCAACAATTCCAGCCAGGATTCATAGAAACATAGAATGTGATGGCAAATAAGAACCATTTGGCCCATGCAGTCTGCCCAATTTTCTAAATACTTTCATTAGTCCCTGGCCTTATCTTATAGTTAGGATAGCCTTATGTCGATCCCACACATGCTTAAACTCCATTACTGTGTTAACCTCTACCACTTCAGCTGGAAGGCTATTCCATGCATCTACTACCCACTAGGTAAAGTAATATTTCCTGTTATTATTTTTAAACCTTTGCCCCTCTAATTTAAGACTATGTCCTCTTGTTGTGGTAGTTTTTCTTCTTTTAAATATAGTCTCCTCCTTTACTGTGTTGATTCCCTTTATGTATTTAAACGTTTCAATCATATCCCCCGTCTCGTCTTTCCTCCAAACTATACATGTTAAGTTCCTTTAACCTTTCCTTGTAAGTTTTATCCTGCAATCCATGAACCAGTTTAGTAACCCTTCTCTGAACTCTCTCTAAAGTATCAATATCCTTCTGGAGATATGTTCTCCAGTACTGCGTACAATACTCCAAGTGAGGTCTCACCAGTGTTCTGTACATTGTCATGAGTAGTGATGTACCGAACGGTTCGCCGGCGAACGGTTCCTGGCGAACATAGCATGTTCGCGTTCGCCACGGCGTGCGAACATATGCGCGGTTCGACCCGCCCCCTATTCGTCATCATTGAGTAAACTTTGACCCTGTACCAAATATCCTAACCTTGCTTGCAGTTTCTTGATAAGCCTTCTATGTGCAACAGTGTCAAAAGCATTACTGAAATCTAGGTAAGCAATGTCTACTGCACCACCCTGATCTATTATTTTAGTTACCAAATCAAAAAAATAAATTCGATTAGTTCTGCATGATCTCCCTGAAGTAAACCTGTGTTGTCTCTGATCTTGAAATCCATGTGATTTTAGATGTTCAACAATCCTATCCTTTAACATGGCTTCCATTACTTTCCACACTACTGAAGTAAGGCTTACTGGCTTATAGCTGCCTGACTCCTCCCTACTACCTTTCTTGTGAATGGGCTAACTTCCAATCTTCTGGGACTACTCCTGTTAATGATTGGTTAAATAAATCTGTTAATGGTTTTGCTAGTACACTACTAAGCTCTCTTAATAACTTACGGGTGTATTCCATCAGGTCCCATTGACTTATTTGTCTTTACTTTTGACAGTTGAAATATAACCTCTTCCTCTGTAAACTCACATGTAACAAATGGTTAATGTGTCCTTTTTCCTAACTGAGGCCCCTTTCCTTCATTTTCATCTGTAAATACTGAACAAAAATATATATTGAGGCAATCAGCTAGACCGTTATCCTCTTCTACATGCCTTCCTTCTTTTGTTTTTAATCTAACTAATCCTTGTTTTGCTTTCCTTTTCTTATCTATGTAGCTAAGCAATGTTTTGTCCCCTTTTTTACTGAATGTGCTATTGTCTCTTCTGTGTGTGATTTGGAAGCTATTATAATTTGATTAGCCTCTTTCTGCCTAATCTTATAGATCTGTCTATCTTCCACACTCTGTTTTTTTTATTTTTTATAATTACTAAATGCTAACTTTTAGTTTTTTACTATTTTGACCATATCTGTGGAATACCACAGTTGTTCCTTGAATTTTTTGCTTTATTGACAAATTCGGCACACCAGTGGGCCCCAAAGATGGCCCTGAAACCCAACAAATTCGGCACACCAGTGGGCCCCAAAGATGGCCCGAAACCCAATGCACCTGTGGCATCGGTGAACAGATGGAGCTCGGCATTGGACACCTCAGGCGCCTGCCAATACGACCAACCATTAAACCTGTCCAAGAAGATGGACCAAACCACCAGAACCTCACGCAATGGGCGAGTGATACGCACATAATGATGAGGGCATTTCACCCCTGCGGTCACTGCTGCCAAGCGGCCATTAATCACGCTTCCCATAGGAATAATCTGGCATGCAAATTGCAGCTTACTCAAGAGCAACTGCAGGTGTCGCAATTGCATCTTCCTAAGGGACCCGGCGGAAGAAACCAAGCCGCGCAGTTCCAAAACCTTATCCTCTGGCAAACGACATTCCCCAGCAACCGCATCAATCTCAATCCCCAAGAAGCTCAAACAAGTGGAAGGGCCCACCGTCTTGTCTGGAGCAAGCACGACCCTGAAGAACCGAGTGACTGATTCCAGTGTTCAGAGAAGGTGTGAACACATATTCGAACCAGCAGGACCAACACAAAAGAAGTCATCCAAATAATACAACAGTGAGTTACATGCTGCCTCTTCCCGCACCACCCATTCCAGGAATGTACTAAAGCATTCGAAATAGAAGCAGGAAATTGAACAACCCATGGGCAAGCACAGGTCCACATAATAACAGTGCTGGAAGGAACAACCCAAGAGGTGATGGTAATCAGGGTGGACTGGAAGCAGCTGAAAGGCAGCCTCTATATCTGCTTTTGCCATAAGAGCTCCTGGGCCTACCACCTGAACCATCCGAACCGCCACATCAAATGATGCGTATGACAACCTACATAGCTCCTCATCAATATCACTATTCACAGAACCCCCGGAAGGGTAAGACAAACGGTGAAGAGACAGCTCCTTATTGAGCTTGTCAGACACCACCTCGGGGTGGTCCCAAACTTACTTGAGGTTCTGACAAATTCCAGAAGAATCCCTCACCCCAGATGGGGAATCCAAAACCCATCACGGAAACCCCTGAGGAGCAGCTTCGCTGCCCTGCGGTTCCTATTATGGCTTAGCCACGGGAGCATTGCGCCAACGTCCACTAGCGTCCTTGCCTTTGGAGACTACGGTATCCTTGCGCTCACCGGCTTTACCCCGCTTGAAATAGCGGGAGGCTGAGTGAGAACACCCATACCCGGAGCATTCATGCTAAAACTTGCAACTGCTCCCCCATTTACACTGACTTTCGTTGTATTGCCAGAAGCAACCAGTGCATCTGGCAAGGCCGAGGCAGCGGACTGTCCCAGTGTGCCTCGGCCCCCTCGAGAAAGAATGACATACCGCCCTGATGCGATTCCCGGGCGAGTCATAATTGCCAGCCACAAACCAATATCCATTTGATCCCACCACCATATACCCAACATGCAGTCCAGTTCGTATTCTGATAACAAAACAGAGTCGAGCATTTTTCAGGGATCTTTTCCCATATAATACTGGCCAGGATTGAAAAGGCCCTGATCCAATTCCCAAACGTTTTGGGGATCTTCTGATATCAGAACTTGTCCTTGTCCTTGTCGGAGTCCTTAGACTCTTTATCAGTAGTCCTCCAAGGATAGCAGGGAGAAAATCTCTACAAACTCCCCTTTCCAAATCTTGCCACGCACCTCCTGGTGCAAATGCAGCCCCAGGGGCCCTGACCGCACCATGTGCAGCCGGCGCGACTTCAACGCTTGGTGGAGCCACAGTGGGCACAGGAGATTCCAAGACCACTGGGGCAGAGGCTAATGGCGTCCCACCCAGAAAAGCCCCCCCCAGCACCCCTAATCAAGTAACCGAGGAAGGGTCCCACACCGCCCTAACCTGCGCGTCCAATAAAGGGGCCGCTGAACTAAGCTCCCAGTTATCCAAGAGCCCCCTCAGACAACCCCATCAATGAACGTCAAGCCCCAGAACTGACCATCCACTAAAGTAGCACAGGACTCCTCCATAGGAAGCGATACCGGCATAGCACTCAATGAGGTCTGGAACCTGGCCCAGTCCAGAGCCACCTGGGGAGAAAGAACAGGTGAAATCACATCCCCCCAACTCAGAATGGTAGGCCCACCCCAGGGGGACAGGGGAAGGCAAGGGGTGCCCGGTAGGTCCAGACAATACCCCTCAGAAGTGCAGGGGGCTATCAGAGCTACCACAGGAAAGGGTAGGAGACAGACGCCTTACACTTCTCCCAGTCACCACCCCCACTTCAGAAGGGGAGTCCTCTGACCCCCGGGAGAAACCCTTGAGCCTACTCACACAACTGGAAGCCCATCCACCACTCCGCCCGCTCCTGCTGTGTGGGGCTAGAGAGGGGGATGATGAGTGAACGCGGGCAGCAGCAGACCGCCCCGATGCCCAGGTAGACAGAAGCCGGCAAGGGAGGTGAAGCAAGCCTCGTGGCCACAGACCGGCAGATCTTCTAGGCCAGGCCTGCACTCCTGAGCCCAGGAGGGCCCATAGCTTCCCTTTGAGGGCGAAACATTCTGGTGCTGAGCGAGCTAAGTCTGCAGGTGCAGACCCCCATCTTGTAAGGCCTCAGCCCTGAGGGCAGAGAGGACAGCTTTGATATTGATACCCTGGCTGCAAACGACACTTGGAAAGCAGGTGTAATGAGTGTTACCAACTGATAACTAAGATGGCTGCTATCTTGTAAGATGGCAACCTATTTATACTATCCCACCCATCTACCCCTTACTATTCCACGCACTGTCCCAGGACAACTTTACCACATTCCTCTGTATACACTACCCTCACACTCACTTGCCTGGCTCCTCATTGTCTTGCATTCAGTTCATAACACTCATATTTGGTTTGGCTTTGAGCATAGCAATGGCACTCTTGCTTTCTTGGTGGCATCATTACTTAAGTTTATTATCACATTATTATGATGGAATAGCAAAATTAAACATATAATGACACTTCCCTGTGCCATTCTTAACAATTCCAGAAGAAAAAATGCAATTTCTATCCTGTTCTGCTTCAGTGTAAAAAGAAGTATGTATTTCCCATGTGAGCACTTAAAGCCTGCCACCTTACCAGAGGTACATCTGAC